GACTCAGACTGGAATGATAAGTCTTCAGGAGCAGAAAATATTGGAAGAGCTGACAAGATGATGGGTTTTTCAAGGCAGCATTAAACACAAGTATGCACAGAACTCACCCACAGGACTTGAGGCAGGACCCTGCAGGCTGCAATGATGCACAGGGAAGGGGAAAAGAGGGGATGTCTGGTTCCAAATGGGAAGAGGGCTGCCCTGCACATCCTGAGATATTTCTGTGCTGTGCCATGATTGGTATCCCTGTGGAAGTACCAACAGGCAGCTATGATCCTTACTGCTTTTAAACAGGACCAAGCTGCCATTACATCCTTTAGCTGTCTTTGATAGTTTTAATTTTGGTCCATTTCAAAACAAATGTCTCAGCAGCTCTTTGATCCCCATGAGTCTCTCCAGCTAAAGCCCATTTAAGGTTCCTGCCTGGTCTCTCTTCCCAGTCTAGGGAATATGCTGACCTTTCTCCTAGCTGGAGGAAACACCTCAACCCCTTTTTAATCCCACAGCGCAGCTGCTTGAAGGACCAGAGCTGGGGGAGGCAAGGGAGGCAAGAGGAATTGCCTTATTGTGTGTTTGGTAGGAAGTGTGCCTTCAGGCCTCCCAGAACTCTTTGATACACTGTGTTCCCATCCCTCCCTCTCTGCAAGGCCTGGAGAAGGATTGAGTTCCTAGCTCAGCTCAGGAGCCTCGGGCAGCACATCGCTGCACACAGCCGTGCCTGGAGACCCAGCCCTGTGCCTCATCTGCAGTCCTGACACATAATACAGAAACAGCCTCCCACAGCATCCAGACTTCAGCTCCTTCAGTGGGCTTCTGGCAGCTGCCTCCCAGATCCTCCCAGCAGTTCCCGAGTGCCATCTGTTGACTCGATAGCGGTCATGCAAAAAATGGAGAGGAGCCAGGATAAGGCTGGGTGAAGTGCACTTGGGAAAAGTGGCAGTATGGCACTGAGTGGCTCTGGAGGAGTTTCACAGAGTGCAAAAGGAAAAGGAGAGAGGATTTCAAGCTGAAGTTGTTCCTGCTGGTGGAAGGGCTGATGAAGGGATGCCAGGAATATTTCTCGGAGCAGGCAAGTTTGCATTTTTTGAAGAATCAGATTCTTTCCTTCAGTCTTTCTGTAAGGCAGAGAGACAGAGTCTTACTGATAAAATATGGGGCAAAACTTTGTGCCAGATGCTGAGTGCTGTCCTGGAGCAGGGAGATGGCAGACTACTGTCAGGGATGGTTCTTTGTGCCAAAACTGAAAGGCCTTGCAGCACACAATTAGAGAAAGGGACTATTTCACTGTCACAAGCACAAAATGGAGAGGTCATTGCCCTGCTTTCTTTCCTTGGCCCCAGAAAAATCTCCAGCAAACTTTGGCCCAAGTGGAGAGCGAGGGCTCCAAGTAGGCAGCTGAAGGCTGTGCTTAAGGACAGTCAGCTGAGCCCCTGTACAATGCAGCCACAGCAGGGCAATGCAGAAAAGACCCCTTTATATACTTTTGATTCCTCCAGCTTCCAGGCTTTCCTGAAGGAAGCTGCTGTCCACCCCAGCGACTTCTTCAGGGGCAGCCTGAGGTTAGCAAGAGCTGAGAGATCCATGAAGCAAAAACCACAGAGCCAACCTGGGTACACTTCATGTGCTGAGCAGTTTCAGAGGTGGCACCAGCCAGACCACAAGAGAGCCCAGAATTAGACTGTCCCAGCAGGTCTTCTGGGATTTGAAAGAAAAAAGAGATTAACTCTAGGTGTGGTGTACAAATTGCTGAGTGAGTAATGAGGCTGGTTTCTCCAGATGTCCTTCCTGTTGCTCATGGATGCAGGACACACTTGCTGTCTGAAGTACTCTGTCAAGCTGCTGCGTGTGGGAAGCGCTGCCACCAATGCTGGAGAGCAGGATTGGTGTCCTGCAGCCACCCAGGTGGGAGTGTTGGTGTGAACAGGATTCAGTGTGTCCTCAAGTCCTGCAGGACTCCCAAAATGTCTTGCATCCAGCACACCCCGCTCACTAGAGCAGGAGTAATAGGAACCTTCTCTGGCTCCTCTCCTTCCCAAAAGCAAACCTCTGGGTATTGGAATCCCTGGTGCCTGGATGATGGTCCAGAAGGATTGCCCATAGCTTGATGCAGGCACAGACCTCATTGGAAGGCAGTGCCAGTTTTGGGATTGATGCTGCACTTTAGAGAAAATCAGGGGTTTTGACAGCTTTTTACTGGGGACAGCTGTGGTGTTACTGCAGCCCTTTCTGGCCACAGTGCTGGGAATAATTAAATGTACATGCATATTCATAATCCCATAAATCTTGGCACATTCATAGGGTTCTGCTTTCTCCTCTGACTCTCCCAAGGGCACCAGCAGGTCCCCAAACCAGCCTGTTTTGCCCCACTGCTGCAGCTGCAGAAGCTGCTTCCTTGACTGGGCCCTTTTGCCCATGGGTTTCTGTGTCTGCAGTGTTCACTGAGGGTTCCCATTGATGTCAGATGATGATGCAGAAGTAGGTGCCTGTCATTTGTACCACTCAGACATGGTAAAGGACAGCTGAGACATGTCAGCTCTTTGTATTGAGGTCAGGAGCAGCTGAGACTGCCCTGGAGGGAAATGCAGCTCTCCAGCAACATCAGCAAAGGCAAAGTTATTTTAGGGATCTTCGCCCCTGGTTCATGGCACTGCTCATTGCTGGAAGAGCTTGGTCACACTGCCAGGAATGGCAGGGACATAGGATGCCATGGCTATGAGGTCTGGAAAAGTTTGGAGAAATTCCTTGTGAGCAGTTGGCTTAAGCCTTGATAATTTGAGCATGACATGGGCAACACAACGGACCCAGCTGCATGTGGTGTTCAGCCAGCACTGCACACAGAACCTGGCCTTGGAGTTTGGGTAATGGTTTCTGTTTTAACCTGAACCTCAGCATCAACATAGTCTGCAGTGTCCTTGAGGCAAGAGACATGACCACCTCACAAAGAGGACAATGCACAGGATAATGCACTGGGGTCCCTCACCCCAAAAGGCCACACAAAGACTTGCATTTCCTTCAGGGTGACCTTGCAGCGGCTGTTGCTTTGTTTTCTTCCCTTTCCTGGCTGCCAGCAGGCACAGGGAGCAAATGAGCTATGCTGCACTGCAGGAGGGGTGCTGGGGGGACACATTTTTGGTGCTGGGGTTTACATCCCTGGCCAGGGCAGGTTGTGATGGCTGGTCAGGACAAGGTGTCTCCCAGGAGGCAGATAACAAAAAGAAATGCAGGCAGTGCTGGATGGTGCCTATGCTGATGAGGGCTTCAGTGTTTCCATGAACACTGACTCCCTGACTCAACCCAGTCCTGGGTGACCTTGTCCCTGTGGCCTCCAGCCCAGCTAAAAATGGGATATCACTCTGCCCTCAAAAGAGAGTGTGCCAGCTTGGAAAACCAAGGCAGTGCCATGCCACAGTTCCCCTCCATTCCCAGGTCAAGGTAAAGCTCCACATGACTCTGCATCTCCTGCACAGCTGTGTCCACTGCAAACGTCTTGACAAGCACTTGGGCTCCAGCAAAGCTCCTTTTCCCGATTTTCTGCCCACAGCTGAGTCTTCATTTCCTTCATCAAGCCTGAATCCAGAAGCACTGCCTTGGAAATGGTTTCAATTTCCTTTCATCATTGAGTACCTACTAATTAATATAGGTCACTCTGTCCCTCCAAGAGCTTTTACTAAGCTGTGCTTCCATCTCCTTAGTGCCTTAGCCATGATGTCCAAGTCATGTGCAAAGAAGGGACCAGATTCTGAGTTCTGCAAAGTCTTTGGCAGATTTCCCTTCAACTACTCCAGGTTTCAGGTCAGTTTTCTTGAATTTTGTGAGGAGTTGAACTCCTTAAAGGTTTAGAGTGGACAGTGGGCAGCAGTGGACCAGCTTGGTTTTTTTAACATACGAACATAGAAGGGCCCACATTAAGGGGGGGCTGTGCATCAATCCTTGGGCAACAAAACATTCCCTGGTGTACTTCCATCTCCTGTTTGCCTCACACTCGATCTGTGTCTCTCAGGATGGAGGGAGAGGGCAGCCAGTCTGTGCTGAGGGAGAATGTAGCACATGGCCAGGACATATGGCTGAGGTTTCTTCAGCCTGGAGGAGACTCATTGGGGTCTGCAGCTTCCTCACAAGGGGCAGCGGGGGGGCAGCTCCGATCTCTGATCTCTGTGACCAGGAGCAGGAGCCGAGGGAACAGCTGGAGCTGTGTCATGGGAGGGTTAGACTGGATATCAGGAAAAGTTTCTTTCCCCCAGAGGGTGGTCAGGCACTGAGCAGGCTCCCCAGGGAGTGGGCACAGCCCCAAAGCTGACAGAACCCCAGGAGGGTTTGAACAATGCTCTCAAACACAGGGTGGGATTGTTGTGGTGTCTGGGCAGAGGCACGAGTTGGGCTGGATGATCCTGTGGGTTCCTTCCAACTCAGGATATCCTATGGTGAGGTAAGGGTTCATGTGGCGACTCAAGATGCAGCAGCTGAATGCTGTTCCCTCAAAGCCCCGTTGCTACTTGTTACTCTCCTGAGGGTTATTTTGGCAGCTTTCGGACAGGGACTCATAGGAGTCCCTCTGCTTTGGCTGTGTGCTTCCTGCTAGTCCTGCTGCCAGCTGGTGATGCCCACCCCACAGCACTCTTCTGTTCCTTCCTGAAAGAAAGGCCCACTTTAACAGGGGGGAAATCATTCCCAGAGAATACTGAAATTAAACAGAAAAAGGCAAATCTGACCCATGTTTTCCCATGCAGGCTCGTGCACACACTCACACTCACAAGACGTGCAGGACCCCAGATATTTCCCGGCCCCGCCAGGCGTGGAGCCAGCCATGCATAACAAACAACACGACCCCGTGAATGGCCACGCAGCGAAGCCAAGCTGTTTGCCTGATCCATCCGTCATTGTTCAGCCGGCTTTTCCCACTTTGAACGAGGGTTTGTGGCATCAGGAAGTTAAAAGGAGTCAGGAGGGGGGAAAAGGGGGAGTGTTTCTTTTAAAAAGAGAGTGAGATTGGAGAGGAGGACACAGGCACTCCAAACCCTGTCTGTGCTTGGTATATTAGGCAGCCAGTGCTCTTGGCTGGGAGCCCAGACGAGGCTTTTGTAATCAAAACATGATCTTGTATGCTGTGCAACCAGTGCTGAGAAAGGCCGTCTGATGGCTCTCCTCTTTTAGCTCTGCTCTGGAATCCGCCGGGCTCCGCCGCCGATGTCCAACATGCACCGAGCTGTGAGTGCTGCCTGCGCGGGGCCTGGGAGGGGCGGGGGCGCTGGGGTCCCTCACCCCAAAAGGCCACGCAAGGACTTGCACTCGCTTCCTTCAGGGTGGCCTTTCGGCGGCCGTCGCTTTGTTTTCTTGCCTCGCCCGGCTGCCAGCAGGCACGGAGAGCAAACACGCCGTACCGCACCGCGGGAGGGGTGCTGGGGGGGAGCGCATTTTGGGTGCCGGGGTTTACATCCCTCGCCGGGGCAGGTTGTTGTGGCTGGCTCAGAATAAGGTGTCTCCCGGGAGGCAGATAGCAAACAGAAACGCAGGCAGTGTTGGATGGTGCCTGTGCTGGTGAGGGCTTCAGCTGCAGCTGTCAAGGAAGAGGATATTTCTTAAAAAGAGCGGATACATTTGCTTACGCAGAAGAGCGTTAGTACGGGCCGCTCCTGTCCCCTTTCCCTCCCCCCCTTCCCCGCCATTCACACTTTCCCAACCCTGCTGTCTCCGAGGTCTGGCTGTAGAAGCAGGCGATCGTAGAAGTGTATGGGGAAACACTGCACGCAGAGACAGTCTGGAGCGCGGTGTCCCTCCAGCCCCCGAGGAGCTGCGTAGCCAGTGTGTGTGCCACTTAGGAGAGGGGCTGTCACACAACGGGATGTCGTCATTTAACTGAAGCCCAAAGCCGATAGCTTTCAATTTTCTCCTTTTGTGACATTTTAATTTGCAATAGAATGAGGCCTCTCGTTCCGTGGCTATGCCCTGCTCTCGCGGAGGCTTTGGGTTCAGCTGATTGCTGATTCAAAGCCATCGCACGTTTGTTCTGCCAAAACCATTTATAACTCTGTCGCGGTGACATACGGGCACCTTGGCTCCCCGGAAGAGCTTTACTCTGGGGAGGGCACGGTGGAGCCACACTTTCCATCCTGAGCATCAGCTCCGGCACGGGCTGGAGCAGCGGGTTCGTTCCAGAAAGGGAGGACAGGGCCCGGCCCCCTGTTATCGGCTGGCTCGGAGCGGCAGCTGACGAGCAAACGCTGACTGGGCTGAAGTGTACAATGGGTGAGCCCCTGGGAGCTGAGCGTGGGCTCCACACGCTGCCCAGCGCTTCAGTCGCGGGGCCCGGGTGTGCGGGTGAGCGACCCCTCCCGCCCACAGCTTCTCAGCATTTGCTGAAACAGGTTGTGCACAGAGAAACACCATAATGGCTTCGTTAATAAAGGGAAGGAGAAGTGCTGAACACCAGCAAACTTTCCTTCCAGTGACTTGTGTCCAGCTGGAAATGGAAAGACTCCCTCCCCCCCAATACCAGCCGTCTTGCAGTGTAGACAAAATGCTGACAAATGGGCAGAGGGAGGACAGCGTGACAGGCCTTTTCCATTTTTTTGCCTTAAAAAGAGAAGAGCATGAATAAAACCTCTGCAGGAATTTTAAATTTTTTCTCAAGCCTGCAGCTCTGCCAGTTCTCCTTCAAAAGAATCTGAAGATGAAAGGGGTGTGTTTGAGGGCATGCACCACTTTGATCCCACCCTCGGCAGCCAACACCCCAGAGCTCAGTACACAGTGAACCTGCCAATTTAGTGCTCCCAGAACAGCTTCTGTTCAGGTAAACACCGAATTTGGCTTTAATCAGCCTTGCAAAATGCCCATGGAACTGTATCCACCCACAAAGGCAATCTGCTCACCTGTCGCATATCCGATGATGAATGGCAGTGGAAAAGCCATTTGTTTCCCACAGATCTTGACAAAATCCCATTGTCCAGCAGAAGAATGTGTGGAGGCAGTTTAAATGTTCTCGTTGTCCCACCGGGGCACAGATGTGTGCCTGTGTCCCTGTGTCCTGGTGAAGCAGCCCTTGGCAGGGGCTGTAGGATCAGATACCCCTCACAAGGGACGCCAGTGGGGATGGGCTGGTGCAGGAGCTGCGGTCTGTGTCATGAGCAGGTTCTGCTGCCTTCCCTCACTGATGTCTGACAAGGTGCCTGAGAACACATGAAGGTGAGGGTCATGTACTGCATGCAGATAAGCAGGGTGTTAACTCTGGAGCCCACTGACAGCCATCAAAGTGGGGCAGCAGCGCTTTGCTCAAACTACCTCATTGCTGAACAAAAATTGTAAGAAAAGGAAATGTGAATTCTGTCAGGAAAAGTCAGGGAGAAGTGATGGGAAAGACTCTTTCACTTCCCACCTTGTCCAGACAGAAGGAGCAGGCTTCATCCTGTTGGTAAAATGACTGAGAAGAGCTTTGCTCCTTGTGTTTCTAGGATGCTGCTGTGGATGATGCTGTGTTAAGGAAGAAAGAGCAGAAAGATGTTGAACTTGATAAGAAAATCTTGGCTTTGCGGAAAAAAAACGAAGCACTGATACGAAGGTACCAGGTGAGTCTGCAAGTCCTTACCTTCCCCAGCTCTGATCTGGGGTCCTCAACTCACAGTGTAGATTGTCAGCACAGTCAGAATGACCGTGTTACATAGATAGCATGTTTGTACTGGAAACACTCAGAGCAGGTGGGTAGAGCTCTGCCTTTAGCTTAGGCTTTACCTTAGCCTTTAACTACAATTCTTGAGCTGCTTCAGAGAACAGACACTGACACTTGCCTCACTGCTGCAGCATCTCCTCACCCACTGCCACCTTCCTCTGTCTGCATCCCATAACTGGGACACAAGTTGGTCCACTCCCTCTTAGACGTGGAGGTGGGTCCATTTAACAGAATTAAACAGGAAAATGAACAACATCCAGGTACAGGCTTGTGATAAGGGCTATCTGTGTTTCAGGAAATAGAAGAGGACAAAAAGCGAGCAGAACAGGAGGGAATGGCTGTTACCTCCAGGAGGCCCAAGCAGGATGGACTCACCATTACCATCACCAAAGCTCACAATGTAAGTGGTGCCTCTCCTTCACCACGGGCCAGCTCTCACTCCAGTCCTGCTCCTGCAAAATGGCATTTCTGAGAGAGACCATCCACAACAAAGTTCTTTGAGCACAGGAAATACATCCTAAGCCCTGAAAAGTGTGTGTGAGTTCTGCAGAGATGTGTGATCAGAGTGATTTTAGGTGCTGCACATACGTTTCCAGCCATGCCCAGGCACCTCTACCCATGCACAAAGAGATAACTGGCAGATGACTGGGTGTGTGAACAGGCATACTTGGCCCTCAAACGGTCCCAGGTGTCAGCATCACTGCAAATATGTAGGCAGAGTATATCAGGTGTGTGTGTGTGTGTGTGTGTGTGTGTGTGTGTGTGTTTGTGTGTCAGTCACTGGAGGCATCAGGAATGCCTCTGAGAATGCCATGGAAAACTTATGGTCTCCTTAGGCTTTGGGAGTGAGCAAAGCAAGTGGCCCTGGGCCAGAGACTGTGAGTCCCAGGTTTCCTTCCTAATTGGATCAAATCTGATAAGCTCTGTCCACCCATCCTGGCAGCATGGGGCTTGGAAAGCCAGTCCTGCCTTAACCCCTTGGTGAACTTTTCTGCCAGAGCTCATGCAGAGCCTGCTGAGCCAGCCCACCCTGCTTTCAGCACTCCGGGTTGTTGGATCCAGGCCAGTGCATTGCTCTCCTCCCACCCTGGCCACGGCCCTCGCCTCTCTCGGGGTGCTGCTGCACACATTTTTCTCTCATACAGGACCTGAAAGATGCAATTACCCAGACTGAACACTATGGACAAGATAGCCCAGCCCTCTCGATGGTGAGCACCACCCTCAGCCATCCACTTGGCTTCCAAGGCCACCTTCAGCAGGACTTGGGCTTTCCCAAGCTAACTCAGTGTGCTGCAGAAAGAGATGAGGATGGCATTTCTTTCCCATAACTCTGGCATTTTAGTCTGAAATGTCAGATTTGTAAGTGCAAAGGATTTTTCAGCCCTGCTGTCTTTGTGGGTTTTGCTGCTGAGCAGACAACAAGCCCCTTGTTCCCCAGGAATGTCACAGCAGTGTGCCGGGCACAGAGAACTTCCTGGGGGCAAGGGCTGTTCTATAGCTGCCTTCCCGCTTGTGTGCAGGTGTGTTTGGGGAAGGGAATCACATCCCTGAGTCAAGGCTCTGGATTTGCTAATGGAAGTGGTTCATTTTCCAGGACAAAAGGGTGGTGAGTGAGAAAAGGGGAAACCCCTGTCCTACAAGCCCTGGGTTTGGCATTGGCAGTGAGGAAGAGGAGGAGGAGGAGGAAGCAGATCATATGTTCACATTCAGGATGGGGAAGAGGGTGCAGCTGGCTGTTACCATGGACAACAAAGCAAAGGTGAGTAGGGAAGAGGATTGCTCTCACACTGCAGCCTCTTGCCTTACAAAGGAGCTTCTGTTCTGCCTCTCACTTGAGCTTTCTGTCCAGTGTGTCACATCCAAAGGGAGCAGTTCCTTGCTGCTTGTTTCCTCTCATTTCACAGTTGTTCAGCACAACCTCAGAGCTACCACATGCTCCCTCTCTATATTTGATTCTCAGGAATCAGCCCTCAGGCCTTGCTAGCCCCCTCAGCAACACTTTCCACCCAGCCAGGTGGAACCAGTTCCCTTTCTAAGGGATCAGTCAATTTATTGCCCTCCTGGGCCAGTCTGGTGTTAAACTGTATTGCTGTGCCTGGAAAGAGGGGCTTGCTTGGTGACACTGTGGTGACTGAATGAGGCACCACCATCCTTCCTGTGACCACTGCAAGGTCCCAGCACCAGAGATCCTCGGCTGTGCACGAAACCACTCACATCCAATCATCAATAACCTAAATCATAGTCAAGCGAGATGCCCCAGAGGAAAGCCAGCTGGAAAGTTTCACAAAATGGACATAAGTCCAGGAGTTTCCTTTGTTCCCCTGTTCTTTTTCCTGGCACGCCTCGGATGAGTATTTTTAACACTGCCTCTGCAGTCTGGGGCATGCCTCAGGCATGAGATGGGCACATCTCACCTTACAGTGACTCTGTATGGGGAGTGGTGTAGTTCTGACTAAGCTAAAGAGCTGGTGCCAGAGTCCCAGATCTCTGTCAGGCAGGGAATGACCCAGGACAAGCCCTGTGGAGGGGAGGAGTTGGCTCTGCCAGGTGCTGTGGCTGTAGACCTGCTCTCTGTCCCTCTTGGCTCTGCATGGGTGCTCTCCTCATATGACATCTCTCACTCTGGGAGCTGGGGCACCAAGGACCAGGATTTCCCAATGTGGGACAAGCAGGCTGAGAGATCACCCAGACTGTTAAATAGGAAACAAGGAAAGAAGACAATGTCAGCAGACACATTGAGCAGAATGTGCCTTCAGGCGAGGCAGCTTAGCCAGAAGCAAAATGGGGAGGGAGGGAGGGAAGAAAGGAGGGAAGGAGTGGTAAAGGGAGGGAGAGCAAAGGGTATTACACAGAAAATCTGGTGGTCTCCCAGCCTGGATGTGTCTAGCTGCCACATCTATGTTAAATAGCTGTTTCCTGTATTTCCTTTGAGTCTTCCTTGCCATCTGCTCAATAAATGCAGGGTTAAAGACTTTGTCAGCACACCAGCCTTCACACCATGCCTTTTAACATCCAGTAGCCCAGGGATGGTGTCACCTCCCTGTAATCCAGTGATGTTCTCTTGAGGCTTCTGTTGTGCTCGAGGTGTTTGGGCACAAGGTTCTTTGTGTTGGGTCTCATGAGAGACTTTCTCAGACAGCAAGTGATGAAGTCACCTTCAAATATCCTCCCAGTGCCAGACCTCCCTGGCAAGAGGTATCTGTGACCCTGTTACATGTCTAAAGGATGAACCATCAACACCTAAACACTGAAGAGCTCTAGGGAACAGCTGTTGACTTAAGATGAATAAATGCTTGTGGATTAATAGCTTGCTGTTGCCTTCTAAACCATCTCTGGGCTTACTTTCTTAATAAAAAATTATGTTAAGTAGAATGCCAAACACCTCACACAAGTGCTCTGGGTAGGGCAGAGCCAGGCCAGTCTCCAGTTCAGGCTCTCACCTCAGCAGTACAGCCTAGAATTACTGAACCCAAAAGCAGAGCTAGAAATCCCCAAGGGAATATGTAACAAGGTTCCCACCACGTCTGTTCATCTGGGGCTGACAGGACAGGCAGAGCCAGACCACTCCTCTCCCCTGCATCAGGCTGACTCAAGAACTATCTCTGCTGAAACAGCAAAATCACACAAATGTGAAAGATGAATAAACAAGAGACTGAGGTTCTGCTGCTGGAAATACTCCAGTGTCTCCTAAAACATTTATCATGTGCTAGGAAGCCCGATGACTGAGAAGCCATAAAAAAGGTCATGCTGATGGAGGCTGTGAACAGGAAGGCTCTCTCCTCGCTAACATCTGCACTCCTGGCAGAGCTGAGGGAAAATGAGGTTAATGTGAGGCTTCTTGGTATCACATGTCATGCCAAAGGCCCTGATTGCATGTCTTCCCTACAAATCAGAGGTCTGGGTGTGCTTTTTGTTTTTAAAAACAATTTTGTAGCAACAAAGTTCCCAGGTTTCACTAAAGTTTCCTTGGAGATTTTGAGTACCTTTTAAATCAAGACTCCAGTAAATGTGAAAGCTCAGGGTGGAAAACAGAGTAAAATGCACCATCCTTTAGAGAGGGAAGCTGCTGAGGTTCCTTCATCCCTGGTGAAGTTGAGCAGACTTCATATGGATGAAGAGAAAAGGAAAAGATCAGAGATAACAATGGATATGACTTATTAAGTCTCTCATTTCCTTGTAAGGCAAAAATAAAAAGGCACATGACTGGCCTGAAAGATGATACTTTTAAATGAGAAAAAGAATGAGTATCTTTTTGTACAAAAGATGTGCTCATTTTGTGGAATTGATGGCTGAGGGCACTGGCAGGACATCAGCCAGCAACAAAGATCATTAACAAAATAAGAAACAGATGTAAATCCATGTAGTGAAGTCATGACACTAATACAGACAGCTGTAAATAATATCTGAGAGGGGTAAACTGCCCTTGCTTAAGAGCTTATATATCAGGTTTCTTAAGTATTCCATTGCTGAATAAATAATTCCAGAAATACAAACGCACAATGACTATGAATTGATGAATTATCAAATGCTAATACACTTTAGGGGAGTAACTGCTATGTGGACAAGGTTGAAGTGAAGGAACCCCACTGTTCCCCTTCTCCTCCACCTTCTAGGCTTATGCTCTAAGGTAACCTCACATTTTATTGGGACATGTTGTATGGGGAGGGGACAACCTCACATTTGTTTCTAAGACACAGACACAAGCTTAAAATAAAACCATCCTTCAGTGTTCATGCTGCAGATTATCTAAGCATGAACATGAGGGTAAATCCCACCATGCTGGTGTTGTGCTCAGCTAAACACACCTCTGTAATATCACAGATCCCTTCCAGTGGGATGGCAGCTTCATGAGCCAAGGGGTCTGACTGTTCTGCTCATTTTCTGTCCTGCCAGGCCAAAATCCTTTGCAGTTTGGGATGGCCACTCTCCTAGGAGGGCTAATGGGGGTGTCCTTAACTGAGCCTGTGCCTTCCAGGGCAAGAGGATCGTCAGCGAGAAGCGCGCCGAGAGCTTCCCTGGGCCGGGCCGAGTGCCGGAGCTGAGCGAGGAGGAGATGGACCATTTGGTGGCTTTCCGACGGGGAAGGAGGATGCAGATTGCCATCACCATGGACAACAAGGAAAAGGTAAGTACAGTGCCAGTGACTGGCCTGGAACCTATCCATGGCATCCACTTCTGCTGGCATGAGGAGAGCCTAGCCACAGGATGTTGGGAGACACTCCATGTTAATAGGGCAGCTTATCTCCTTACCTCTGCCTTCCATCCCTGTGAAAGAAGAAAGTCACAATCTTTTCCCTCCCCTGTGATCCTAGCTAAACCTAGAAGCCTCCTAAACACACTGAGTTCATCAACAGATGCTGCTTTGGAAGGATTGATGAAAGCACTGCTAGATATGGGGCATGAATCTCACCTTGTCTCTTACCAGCTTCTCTTTGAAGCTACACCGCAGACTGGAACAGGAGCAGTGTCCTCCTGACTCACTGCACCACTTAAACATTAACAGAGCTGGGCTATATCTGCCTCTGAACCACATCCTGCTGTGCCTGGTCATCACCTGCTGAGTGAACTGGCTGAACTTTGGTAGTCTTTGAAACATATTTCAAATACTTCTTTACAAATACCTTTCTCTTTACACACACAGAGGCATGTGCTATTTTCCTCTTTGGAAGCTTTCACAGATAAGAAAGAATGCCTGCAGCAAACAGGATCAGAGACTGTGTAGGAAAACACACTTGGTGTAGCTACCAACCACCCAGGAATGCTGGGAGACATCTGCAGCCCCTCTCTGGAATAGTGCCAACCATTTGCTGCTACTAGCCACGCTCATCTTCAGCTTCTCCTCCTCCCTAGGGCTTACCTAGGCTCCAGGAGTTCAGGTGCTCCTTTCTTGTGGCTGCCAAGCTGTGTTTTGAATGCCATAAAGCTCAAATGAGCTGCCTGATTGAGCCACTGGTAACCCCAAAGTCCCCATGACAGACATCATCACCAGCATTCCTGGATGTAATGGGATTGACCTGACTGTGCTGTTTCTGCCCTTCAGCTTGTCAAATGTACTTCTGTAATGTGCCAGGCAAGTGTCTCCTTCTGCTCTCTGCTGGACCTGTTCAAACACTTGTCTCTGAGGTCATCAAGGTTGGGGCTGTACTAGGATAGAGCTGCAGGAGGAGTGCCTGGATGTTGGCTTTAGATCCTGTGGTCTCTTAAGTGTATGGACTGCCCTGGAAGGTCATCTCTAATCTGGTTTTATTATGGAATATGAAATTGGAGGCTGAGCATGCATGTATGTGGTTTTGGCAATGCCTTGCTCATCCTGTCCTGGCCTCAAAGCATCTAGATTCAGAGCATATGAGGGTGGGCCCAAGGCTGCACTGGCTAAAGCCATAGAACCATGGAAGCTTGGAATCCCAGACTTGTTCAGCCTTGTTCCCTGACAGCTCCATTTGCTGTTCCTGCATCAGGGGAAGTAGTGAATAGATCATTCCCAGCACTTCCCAAAGCACAAATGATTTTATCGACCTGTTTCACATCTTCCCTCACCTATCTCATGTAACTTAAGAGATTGTCCCTATTAGGCTTGTCTGCTGAGGACTGTTCTTTATTTCTGATCATTCTCATTGTCCCCATTTGTGCTTTTGTTATTTTTACCATATTCTTTCAGTACAAGCAGACCAGAACTGCACATGGTATTCCAGCTGCGGGCTCTCCAGGATGTACTCAGTGACATAACAATGTTCTGGTTTGTTCTCTATTCTTCTCCCAGCAAGTTTGCATTTTCTTTGCTTTTTTTTTTTCCCTAAATAATTGAGCTAACAATTTTAGAGAACTAGTCACAGTAACACCAAAATTTCATTCCTGACTGTTAATCATAGCTCAGGACTCATTACTGTGTGTGTGTATACAAGAAGGGACATTTTTCTCTGTGTGAGTTATTTTCTATTACTGATATTGAATTTCAGCTGTAATTTTATGATGCAGGCATTCAATGTCAAGAGATCTTTCGCAGCTCTTTCCGGGCAAATTACATTCTTTGCCCTGGATGATTTAGTATCATCAGCAAACTGTCATCCCTCTCTTCAGCTCCTTTTCCAGACCATTTATGAGCATGTTGAGCAGTACATGTTCCAGTGGCACACTCCTGCTAATCTTCTGCCATGGAAACCACCATTTTCTTGCCACTTTTTCTTTTCTATCCTTTAATCAGTTGTTAAAAGAGAAACTTCATTTTCATCCTCAAATCCAAGCTGCTGGGGAGCGTGGTGGAGTGTCAGTGACTGGGTAACTGTGTGTTAGGACCTGAGCTGGGACCCCTGATTCAAGGATTAACTTTCAGTCCCTCATTAACCCCAGCATGGTTCATCCTTTGGGCCTTTTTACCTTGTGTCCCAGCTGGTTCCCTGCTCTTTTGGGGTTCCCACAAAGGCCTAGGAGAAAGAGTCACATCCATCACTTCCCCTCCAGTAGCCTGGCCCCTGTCAAATTTGCTTCCTCCTCTGTGCATGTGTCATATTTATCCAATTAAAGTATTTGATGGGTGTCCTCATTACCACACATTTTCTCTATTTTTATTCTTGATGAAATTCAATAAAGAAAAAAAGCCCAAACTAACAAAACAAAAAAATCCCCAAAGAGGAAACCGGCTCCCATTCTTGCTGCCCATGGTACTTCTGGCTAACCCCACACTGTCAGTCCCAGACTGCAGCAGAGCTGAGATAGGAGCTACCAAAGGAAATGCAAGAGAAAAAAGATGCTTTCATGATCTCCTTTTCTGAGACAGCTCCAGTGCCATAAGCAGAAAGACTCTTTCACTCTCTGTTAGCCCACAGGGCTGAAGGGACCAAATTATCCTGTCTCCTTGCAGAGTCCATCGCTCTACTGCTGCAGCTTCCTGACCTCCAGTGCTGCTGCTGGCTTGGAAGTGCCACATCTGGGACCCATCTCTGCCTGGCTGCCCCTAAACCTGCCTCAGGGCTCTCCTGCATGTAGGGCTGGAGACAATCCTTCATTTTTAGCCCTAAAAAGCCACTTTGGCAGTGTTTCAGGCTCATTAGTGCATTAGAGCTGGGAGCCAGCAGCCCAGGACCAGTGGAGCACAATGGTTAATTAACAGGTTACAAATCATCTTTTAAATGGGCAGTTGATAGAGCTTCAGGGCTTTTAAATTGTCCTTTTATTAACAGAGTTTCCCAGGATGGTGTATCAGAAATGACTGTAATCAAGAGATACAAAAGCTGCTTTCAGGGACTAACACAGAGGAGTCGGACTTGGTGCTTGCAGAGGAGAGGAACCAAACCTGTGGCAGGAGAAACACTTGCTTTTACATTGCAGATGGGAGGGAAAAATAGGCAGAGAGGGTGGCTGAAAAGTCTTTAGCTCCCTTCAGGCAGCACAATTAAGGAGGCAGATTTTTCAAAAGAGTTATAAAAAAATCCTCTCATGTACTAGTTTCAAAAATCCTGCCCAGTGGGGAATCTGAGCACTAGAAAAACGGCTTTAAGCTTCTACAAAAATCTCCTCATTTCTTCAAGAAGAAATGCCAGTTGTGGTGCTGACACGTGCCTGGAGAGGTGGGTGCCAAAGGGTTTGTTTAACTCATCTGATTGTCCTTATTTTTAAAAAAAGAAGGCGTTGAACTAGCCCAGAGATATGGAAGCCTGTCAAAGCTTCTGGAGAACTGTTAGTACCAACCAGTGCTTGGCTGGATAATGGCATCAGTACTGTCACCACTGCACAGTGACATTAGCTGGGAATATGTGTGCCAGGGAGTCAGAAAGACCCAGTGGCAAAAGGCATTTGGGATCCCAGGGCTGGTTTGGAGCAGGCTCTGCCCCACCTTGGGCCCCACCCTGGGCCATTCTGGACTGAAAAACTGAGAAATCTTGGCAGGAACCTCAGGATAAACAATCATAATCTTCCTTGACTGCTTCAGGCTTTTGTGTCCTCCTCCTGCTCTGCAGGAACAGTTACATCAGGAATGATAACGTCCATGTCATTTTTCTTAATTTTGGGGGCAGAGAGGAGAAGGAAAAGAAAAACATGTTTTGCTCCCTCTTGGCCTGGGTGTGTGGTAACAGGAGGAGCAGTTCTGGGACAGCAGGACAACAGGAATTCTGCTCCTGAGCCAGTGCAAGAGCCAAGCTGACTGTTTTCTGCACAGCTCAGACCCGCTGTCCTGGTACAAAAGAACTACATTTTTGTGGTCTTCTCCATTTTCCACAGTGCCCTCTGAGAAGCAAAAATAGAAGCAGACTGAGGCAAAAGGCAGCTGACTTGCAGTGAGGGTGTAAAAGGATGAAGGGTTGTGCAGTGTCTCTGTGACCCACGTTTGTGGTGGGCACTGATGAGTGACCATTCCAAATGGGACAGCCACTGGCATGTAGGGCCCTGGAGAGCAAAGTTTCCAGATTTCTGCTGTTTAATCTCTCAGTAAATGCTCAGTTTGGGACTGCAGAGAGTCATTCAATCTCTTACTACAGGGTTCTTCAAACAGGGCTGCCAGAGCAGGTGATTTTGAGTCCAGAAGGGAGCATTTTTGGTTATATAAGTTTTCACAGCAATATTTTGAAATAAATCCCCAGTGTCATCTTTCACCATATCCCCTTTTGCAACAGGCAGGATGTGGTGAGGGGCAGCTTCTCTGAGCACAGACCCCTCTACATTTTTCCCAAATCTTTGCAGAGAAATCCCAGGACAATATAGCTAAAATTTTCCTTGTTATTTCAAAGGATCTGTTTGAACAAACCTCCATCTGTACTGGAGCTACAAGTCAGACCAGTGAAGCTGTCATGCACCGAGTGCAGTGACAGTCCCTGGACTGTATGGCCACACTTCCCACGTGCCTCAGACTTAGCATGTGTGGGCAATCCCCCAAACATGTGTCTCCAGCTCATTCCCTGCATGATTCAATGGGATACATGAGAACAAGCTGCAGCAGCATTTGTTGCCTTAGGAGATTGGACAGAGCTGCAGGTATCAAGACTGATATCCCAAGTTTTCCCTGTAAAACTAAAGCTGTGTCTGGTGAATGCATGGAATAAAAGTCCTGTTTCCAGCCTGGGCTGGACCTCACCACGCTGCTGCTTTCTGGAAGGGCTGAGCTGGCAGTTTGTGCTGCCACGTTCCTCTTTGTGTTTCAGTTTTGCTTGGCACTGCAAAATGGCAGCAGGACAAGCTCAGCCCCCCACAGCCCCAGCCCTGTAGCTGTCCAACCAGGCAGGGAGCCTTTCCTAAAACAGTCTTTATGCTCTGCAGACTGTTTTGTTAAGACCCACTGCAATCTCACCCTGGCCTCTGACATGGCTCTGTCTCAATTATTCATCATGTGTGGGGACAGAGAACCCCTGGCTTGGCCCATGTTTGGTGCCCGTAGCCCACTAAGAAACAGAGGCTGATTGTCACCTCCTGCCAGGCTGGGGAATATCAACAGCACAGCAGAGCTTGCCAGTCTGGTGGCAGCATGGGTAAACCCTGTGGGAGCAGGGATGGACCGTGGTAAAAGGATGCCATGTTTGCCAGGGACTGAAATCACTCCTAGTTTGACCATGCTGGGTTGTAGCTGCACCAAATAGCTGCTGTTTGTAGCTATCCAGATCTAGTACAATGGATTCTAAAATGGCCCAAATCTGTAAAAGCACCTGAAACTTGGTCTGCCTTGGAAAGAAACAGGACCATGCAGGATACCACTCTGCTTCCAGCCTGGGAGAAGGAGTGACCTCTGGGAATGCTTTTCTCATGCACCCCTTGCTTTCTGACTTCTTTTTTTTCTACATCAGTTTGATTTGGGGCCCCATAAAAAATCCTTCCTCTTTTGCTGATCTTTTCTGAGAAGTTCTTACATGTCCTGGTCAGCATAGGTTCAGGTGTTGATTCCCCTGCAAGGAATCCTTGCTTAATCCTGAAATAATTCCTGTGTCCGTTCTCTTGCAGGGAGAAGAGCGGAGAACAGCAGAGAAGAGGAGAACAGAGAGTGACAGAGGCCCAGAAAGTGAGCACAGCCGGAAGGTGAGTGGGACCCAAGTCGCTTTGTGGGGACCTTTGTCTTGGAAGAGGAAACCAGTAGAATGTGCCTTCCCACCATAATCCTAAAGGAAGGTGACCTTTGAGGTCTCTTGAGACCCAAACCATCCTGTAATTGTGTGAAGCAGCCTTGTGCTCTGATGTGGCTCCTGCTGTTCATCACTCTCATCATACAAAACTTTGCTGAGCAGCTGACACATCTGGAGCAAGCAGCACTGGAAAGGTGACAAGGACCTGCCTCCACACCTTGTCATGGCTGCTCAAGCCCTTCACACAGCCATAGGGATGTTAGGAAGGGTAACATGCTCACCTCTGTGGCAGCACAGTTTTGGCTGTTTCCTCTCTCAAAACCATTTCCTTGTGGATTGAAAAACTCAGGCTGTATTAGCTACAGCTCCTCACTTCAGCAGGAGCTGAGTAGGATGGAGGTAAATTAAAGCACAGGCCTTCCCACTGACTGTTTAATGCAAAGCCCGGAGACATGCTGGCTCCCTCGAGCCTGCAGATGCTTTAATTAATGGAGCACAAATAGAATAACCCCACCTCAGTGTGATTCATTAGGAGGACACAGATGGGCTCTTAGACACTAAATCCAGCTGAGCCCCCCAGAGCAGGAAGGGGGAGCATGATAGCCTGTGGCCAGCTAACCACAGCTACGCTGTAATTGAGGTGAGGGACTGACTCCTCTTGCTCCATAGGCCCCCAGCCATTTCTGCCTCTCCCCAAAAGAGAGCACAGGCATCAGCCTCAGTCCTTCCCTTCCTTTTGGCTTAGTGAATGCATCAGGGTCCATCCTGGCAGGACCCCTTCATCTCTCCCTCCTTGGGGACACGGTGTCAGGTCCCCAGCTCCTGCCAGCTGAGGAATGCAGGAGCAATTGGTGCCACCCCAGCTCCGGCCCACGCAGGTGAGTCACCTTGGTAACAGGGCTTTCAGTCCCTTCTTCCTGCTGCTTCTCTTACCCGCAGTGCAGGGCTGAGGAGTTAATTCCTCTTTGGGGAAGGTGTGAGGGTGGCTGGCATGGAAGGACACGTGTATGAGGTGATGAATTATCTGCTGGTAATTAGCACCCCAGGACTCAGCTCTGCACTAAGCTATTCCCTACACACTGTTGCTTGACAACACACCACAGCCTGTCGGCTCCTGCTTCCACCTCATCCATTAACCTGACAGCTGGGCTACTTCCCCCCCACATGCTCCATCAGCTCTGAATTGTCTTTCCATTAAGCTTTAAATTTTTGAGCAGTGTCAGCCCTTAACCAGTCTGTCATGAGGAGTGACAAACCAGGAGCCTGACAGCAGTGAAAGTAAAGAGCCCCTTTGCTCTGAGAATGCTGCTCTTGAGCACAGGGTTGGCTGCAGCTCTGTGACTGTGGGCTCCCATGGAAGCCTGGTGGTCGGTCACACAAGGCTGGCTTTCTTCCCTGCCTTGTCACTCTAAAGGACTTCACAGGCATAACTTCAATTTATGTATCCCAAAGCCTTCAGGTTGGGGGACTCATCATTCAAACCCTGTTGAGAGATGTTGCAAGCACTCCAGGAACTGACTCTATGCCATAAGTAAACCTTAGCAAAGGTTTCTGCCTCAGTTTCCCTTCTGTAGAGCCAAAAAGCCCCAGTGTATTTAGGCTTTGGGTAAAGCAGAGTCCTGGTGTGCACACAGCACTTCAGAGTAAGGAGCTGACCTTGTCCAAAGTTGTTTTCAAATATTCCTGAGTGTTTGTGGTGGTGACAGTATAAAGCACCCTGAATGCAGCTGTTTCAGACAGTTTTATTAACCAGAAGCTCTTTTCCCTCCACTAGGATGGTGGGAAGCCAGTCCAGAAGAGCCCTGGAGATCCGAGTTTCCCCATGAGTGGCCGGGAGCGCTCGGAGTACATGCGCTGGAAGAGGGAGCGAGAGCAGATTGACCTGGAGCGCCTGGCACGTCACAAGAATGCCAAGGGCGAGTGGCGCCGGGCTTGGGATGTGGAGAAGTCAGAGCACATGTAGGTCCTTCCCTGTCCCAGGGTGCTTTGCCTGCAGCAGGCCTAAAGCCAGTGGTGGGAGCTTGTGCAGATACTTATGAATCCCATGCTGTCATGTGCCTGACCAAATCCACACTGCTGCCTCTTCCTCCCCAGACCATGCCCATAAGTGGGATCTGGTATCAGAGTGATTCTCATGTTTTCTTCCTAATATGAGCTCTCCTGAGAGGGGATACCATATGCTGACAAAGATTGCCTGCCTTTGGTCCAACCAGGATATGGACTGTAGGAGGGACGGGAGCGTGAACCAAGGCTCAGTCTGCATCTGGAGGATGCTTTCCATTTCCACACAAACAAATCCAATGGCAGGAGCGTACAGGTGCTCTTCCAGAAACCTGGGTGGACAAACTTGCATTGCTAGTCCACAGGTTCTCTACCTGCCCCCACTCCTTTGTCCTTTTTAAGCACAGGGGAGCCCAGCATGCCTAAATCCTCCCACTCCACAAACTGAGCCTGTTCAGGCACTGCAGGGCAAGGGGGTCACTTCAAAAGGCCACCTGTGTCATACAGGGACAATGCTGAGAACAGCAATGTGGGACAGCTGGGAATGGGGCCGGACATGTCCCTGCCTTAATCACTGTCCCTCTGACTGTGCTGGTTCAGCTGGGTCACACCAGCTAGAGAGCTTTGGAGGATGACTTGGCTCCTGTAGCAGGAAAAGCTTCTGGTAGGGTGTGGAGTTGGAGACTGTTACAAAGGTTTGGTGATAGAACAGTTTGCACAGGACAGGTAGGTGGGACAGTCCTTTGGCTGAGGAATGGAATCAAACACATCAATTTTCAGTTGCTGAGACCCCAATAATTAAGGGTGAATTGACTGAAGTGGGGGCTGAGTGTTGATGTCAAGACAGCCCTGAGCCCTACTGTTTTTCCAAAAATCCATTTTTAAGAGAAAAGCCATAATATAAAACAAGCAGGGCTAGAAGCCAACCAAATGGTCTGATTTGAGATGACAAATCCTGAAGCTACTTCAGATTGTATTTGGAATACTACACTGCATTTGAGTGTAGTACAGCTACATCTATATATCTACAGAGTGTAGTACACCCTACATCTATAGGAGGTCCATAACATTCAATATATACATATGTGTACTGATGAAAGGTTTTAGAGGTTCTTCTTTGGGGTAGAACTACCTCACAGCCTCAGTTAGCACATGCTGCTTCAGCTCTGCTGAGAAACCTGCACAGGTTTGCCTGAGGGCAGGTGCAGAAGGGCCAAAGGCCGGAGCTTGCATCGTGCCAAGGGCTCCTGCCCACGCTTTGCACACTGGAGGAGAATGGTCAGGTCTGACAATGCCTGTTTTTAACCTGCAGGTTTGAAGAGGACTTTGTTAAGGATGGGGAGCCAGCCTTGGATAATCTCAGCAGTAAGAAAGGTTGGCAAGGGACACCTAGACTCTGTCCTGACGCTAGTGAACGCTGATCGTGCGCATCCCAGTGCCACAGCAGCTGTCGTGGCTGTCAGCTGTGAAGCTCTGCTTTCCTGGGCAAACACCTCTGAGCTGGGGGCTCAGCCCTCCCTGCTGGGCAGAGGGCTCGGGGGATGGGATTTGAGCAGCTGGGTGCTAGAGCTTTGGACCTTCCCAGGGAGAGCAGTGGCTTCTGGAAGTTGGTACAACACAGTGTGGAGGCGCAGCCCTGCCTCCTTTCCCACACACTCGTTTAAGAGGCAGTCCTATTCCAGAGCGCATCATCTCTGATCCCTATGGCACATGCTGGCTTCTTTACGAGCATAAGTCCATCCTGATTCCTGTTTCTCAGGAGATGGACTGGCAAAACAAAGCTTTCCCTCATGACATCCTATTTGAACATCGGGTTTTTTCTGCCTGTCCATTACAGACCCTCACTCACTTTAGTGCTTCCTTTGTTGTGTCCTTGCAGGGGGAAGGAATGCAAGGAAATTCCAGCACAGGTCCTTTCCTGCGGAGGGGAGAGGTGAGTAAACCACAGAATTGTGTTATGTCACCCCACTAAATGCCAGCACCTATGATATCCCTCAGGGAGAATGTTCTCTCCAGACACTTGCAGATTTGGAGAGCCTTTCGGAACATACCACATGGCTGCTCTTGTAGCTGTGTGCAGGGGAGAAGTTTTCCAAGAACAGCACAAGACTGTATCCAAGGAATAAGATTTAAAGTTAGAATTGGAATTTGGAATTTAAAAAAAACACAAAAGAAACATCCTAAATTCTTTATTGTCTTCATTATTCATTACTTTAGAAAATATATGTGCATTATGCACAGAGCTTCAAAGGCTTCCCACCTCAGAGGTCCTGTCCAAGATTACACGGGTGTTGGCCTGTTCAGTGGTCCATCAACTGCTTCTGCCTGCTTTTGCATGGCATTCCAACTTGTTTTCTAGGTGGAGGACATCATGGAGTCAATGTGAGCGACCCTGGGCCGAAGGCAGTGCCTGCTGTGAGCAGCCGAGCCAAGGGGAAGGACAGACTGACAGGCAGAGCCAGAAGGTGAGGAACTGGCAGCACTGCCATGGTGTGCACGTCCACGCCTCACTCCCTGCCTAGTTATGAAGAGACAACCTGTGCCAGGGCCTCATCACACTCACATGGAAGCATATCCCACCTAACACTTCCCTGTGTCAGTGGGAAGCCATTGGCCCTTGTCCTGTCACTGCAGGCCCTTGTAAATAGGCTCTCTGACTTCCAAGCTACTTCAAAGTAATTTTAGCCTTCAATATCTGCCTCTGTGATTGCTGTCGTGGAGACCTGGGACACCTGGGCACTGTCAGGCAAGCAGGCCCAGACTCTGGCAGGCATCAGCACAAGCAAATTCTGTCTTCTTAGTCTGACTCAACTGTCTGTTCTGGCAATTGAAGTTCATGTGTTCATTACAACTAGAATTACAACAACCAGTTCATTAAGATTTAGTGATCTCAAATGAGTGGCTCTGGGTAGGCCTGGACAAGAGGCTCAGACAAGGAATACATGGCCCTGGAAGAAATCCCTGTCTGGGTGTCAGGCAAGGGACACTGGCTTTTTAAGAACTTCAAGGCCTAAATTGTGATTACTTTTTCTTGACAGATGGGATGCAAAAGAAGGCGAGGACATGTCTCTTGTGAAGGATGACCTTGATGGCCAGGTGAGTTCCTAAGTTGCAGGCTGGCAGCTGAGATTTGCAAACACGTGCACTATCAGGAATATTGGCAAGGGACCAAGGAATCGCTAATCTATTCCAGAGCTGGAATAGAGCTGGTTTTGGGTAACTGTACTCACCACTAACACTCCTCACATGGCCTGGTTACTTCTTACCCTGACCCTCTGTCAGCACAACCACCTCACCTATTGTGGTCCCTGAACACTTCTCCACCTACATCCTTCTACATCTTTTTTCCTCAGGTTTTCAGAACCATCACAGACTAGAAATACGATATACTGGTATTTTAATAAGCTAAACTTAATATGTCCTGTGTTTCTCAGAGGAGCCTTGGTATGGACAGGCAGAAGAGCAGAGGTGACGAGGGGGTGGAAGAGAACTGCATGGCTGAGCTGGAGGAAAAGGGGAAGCAGCCAAGTCTCCAGGATCACGGGGCCTCCTCCTCCCAGCGGCTGCAAAGTGGGAAGGTCCAGCCTGCCCAGAATGGCCAGAAGGAGGAGCAGAGGGGAGTGAGGGGCTGCAGCACAGAGGTGTCTGTGGCCAGCGCTGGGGACTCAGAGCCAGGGCCCATGCCAAGCAAGGAAAATGTTGGGGAAGATGCCAATGGGAAGCCTGGCACTGCTGACATCTCCCAGGAGAAGGAGAGCACTGACAGCAGTGCTTCACAGAGCAGCCTACAGAACACTCTGCAAGGCACCTGGCCTGGCAGCGAGGAGACCTTGTCACTGCCCGTGGGAGCGAATGTAGATGGAGCTGGGTTGGAGAAGCAGCCAGCTTCGGAACAGGAGTCCTCTGAGAACTCTTCCAACAGCCACGGAGGAAAGCTCGACACAGCAGCAGGAGAGAGGCTGGATGCAGACCAAGGACAGCTGGTGAGCAAAGGAGAGGAAGAAGTGACCCAAACCACTGTTCTTGAGGGACAGGCACTTGCACTGAAAGGAAGTGAAGATGCTGAAGGCACTGAACACCACGAGCCTTTGCCCCCAGGGAAAGCCAGCTCTGACAAGGCTGTTGTGCCTGAGCAGGACATGGCAAAATCCCAGTCTGGGGAAGGGGACCAGCCTGAGGACTGCAAGGACAAGGACAGTGGGGACACTCACAACTAGCAGATTGCCCCAGCTTGCCTGAGACATAAGGTGAGTCATCACATTAATGCTCTCAGCCATAGTACAGAGCCACAACTCCATTTTCTGAGGTACAAAGGCATCATACCAGATAACTGTTTAGAAATGTTCATTAGCAGTGCTATGGATCTCTAAGGTAATTAAATCTGTGGATCACAAAGGCCTGTCCTGCAGTGGGTGGGGAAGGAATGCAAAGTCAGACAAAAATTTAGACAGAAAACTGGGCTGCTGAAGTCCGTTGATGACACACATTAGTTAGGGCACATACTGATCTATTCCTGGGAAACTATGACCTTAGAAAGGATGGGAGGAATAACCTCAGTGGGATGAGTTTATTTCTGTCTCTGGGGTGATTACAACTCAAGGTCAGTGTGGTCCTTCCCCAAAACACTTGCAAAGCCACAGGGGTCCACCTCGTGGGCAGAGCTCGGGAGAAGGTTGATTGTATGTGGGATTCTCTTCCAGTAGAAGGTTTGTGAGTGCTACACTTTGAATTACACATGGTAACACTGATGTGCAGGGCAGTGTATAAATACACGGGGTGAGATGATTCCTGGTGTAAAGGCCCACAAACCAAACAGAAGGGAGGGAGAACAGAGCCAGTTATGGAGCAATGCTCCAGGTTTTACACAAACAAACAATTTTTCTTCCATAAAGGCAAATGCAAAGCCAGGAGAAGGAACAAAGGATGACAAGCACAAAGTTAAGGTAGAAATTAGGAGGAAGGGGAAAGGAGAGAGGGTAGGGGCTCTTTGCAAGGTGTGCTTTTTCCAGGCAATGTCCCACAGAGCAGAACATCACACTAAACAGAGATGAGTATTCCCAGAACACAGTTCAGCTTGCCTAACATGGGAGTGGCTCTCAGGATACTCGTGCCTCTCTCCTGCACAGAGGCAGCAGCTCTGTTCCATAAGTAGGCGCGGGAGGCAATGAGCTGCTCAGAGCCAGGCAGGCAGATCCCCCCACCAAGTGCCTTTCCCGGATTCCAGAAGCTTTTCTGCAGACCCTACACAGCAATGTGTCCCCTGGTGTTGCTCAGTATTTCTCCCAGAGGTACAAATGAGCTTAGGGATGAAGTGGCTAAGCTGCTAACAAAGACTCTCCCTATAATCCAATCCATATAAAAGGCAGGGAGAAGTGCAAGCGTCATAGTGATTTCAAAAAGACAAAACATCAGGAACCAGCAGGAGCTGGTTCTATGTTTGAACTAAAATTCCTTCAAGTGAGGGAAATTAATTCCAACAGCATTTAGGAGTATGTTATGAAACACCTGGATGGACATAGCGGGAGATTACTGTCCAGCCACGCCTCTCCAATCTCCCAAAATTCCCACCAAATTAGAGGATGGAGGAATTAATGACTGCTTTGCTCGCTCAGGATAACTTTAATTAGACACCAACTAAGAGGAAACGATAAATTAGAGTAGTCCATTTTCATCTCAGCGATGGAGATTCCCATGGTTTGGTAATAGGGCCCTGAGTCCACTTCAGAGCTCAGCAGGTATGTGTAACAGCTGGAAACATCTGTACTCAGTGATAACGATGTGCTGGCCCCCTGCCCGGCTCGTGGGGCCCGTGTCCTACTCACATTAAATGCAGATCTCACATCCCTTCCTGCACAAGTGCAGCCCTGTGCAGCCACCTCGTGGGTTTCACAGCTCCCCCTCCCAATGTCTATTTATGGCACTAAAAATCTCCAGCACCTTCAAATCAGTGGGAGATGCTGTGCAGAGAGTGTGGTGGGGCTTTCATCCTTCGCTTCAAATAACAAGGAATAAATATTTACTCGAAGTGCAGGACTGGAATCCCTGGAGAACGTCCAACAAGTCCCAGAGAAGTAAACGATACACAAAAACCACAGAAGCTTTTCCCTGAATTCTCTTGAGAAAATTAATCTTAACATCTTTAGAGAAAATGCAGCTGGGGGTAGATTTCCAGAGCAGCTCCAGGGATCTGACCTTGCAGCACTGGCTGACGTAAACAGGAGTGGGGCAGGCAGGGCCTGAGTGCTGCAGGACCGAGGAGGTCAGCAGAGGTCGGCTCTGATGCAAACCAGCGCCCAAGGTTGGTGCAGGAAACAGCACAAGCAGAAACCAGCACTTCCCAAAACAGCTGTGGAGCTGCCGAAGGACAACCAGCTTCCTTGAGGTTCAGGAGACAGGAAGGTACCATCTGCTGGTATGTTTGGGGAGCTGGCCTAGGATTGGCAGGGTCAAGGGCTTGCCTTGAATAGCACTGGCTTTCCTGGTCCTTCTGCAGCCCACACCACCCTCTGGAGCCCATCCTCATGCCATGGGCATTTTAAATTCCCAGAGCACCTCTGAGTACCACCTAAGTGGAGAGCTCGGTCTTTATGCAGTCAGGGAGTGGGACTTGACATAGTTGTCTCCGTATCTCTGGAGTCATGGCACAACGTGGGAGGAGAGTGTTAACATTGGAAAACACAGGGACTCTGAGAGAATGGTGCAAGAGACTAGGGACACACAGGGAAGGCTCCAGAGCTGTTGAGGGAATGTTGTTTAGTCTAGGAAAATGAAGGCAGAAAGCAGTGGAATTGTGATCTCTGTAGATATGTGGGTAGTGAACATCAGCAAAGGGGAAGAAACATCCAAGCCAGAACACAATGCTGGGGCAGGGACCAATGTATTGGAGAAGCCCAGGAATAAATATGGGAAAATTAGGACAAGGTGGCTTCCAGAGCACTTGGAAGCTCACCATGGCTGAATCCTGAGGGCCACTTACTGCAGCTTAACACATCTAAACATAACTCAGGGCTCTGATGGGCGAGCTGCTGCCATTCCAAACACCAGGAATGGAGCTGCTCTCACATCCCACAGTTGTTCCTGCTATCCCAGACCTTCATCAGCTATGTTCAGCTGCAGCTTCAGGGAGTTCTGCACATCCCTCCATCACATGGGGCCTGACCAGTAGGTCCCACAAGGACCTGCTGTTGGCTTGGCTGTGAAGGCCATCCCAGTGACATTGCCCAGCCAGCCAGGCTGGGAGGTGTGAGACAGACAGCAGTGATCTGTGACAGTCTTTTCCTGTGACACTGACACACAGAGGGAATTCTGCCACCACACAATTCCCACTCTGGTGGCAGAGCCCAGGCAGCACAAGGTGGCATTGCTGCCCTGAGCCCCAGCTCACAGCCAGCCCACAGCTGCTCCATCTCCCACTGGCCCTGGAGTTATGTATGGGAAAGAGGATACAGTGGGAAATGTGAGAAAGGCTAATCACTCTGGCTAATTACCAAGAGAAGTAATGACTTTAAAGCCCACCAGTGTCTTGGCTATAAAGGCTCACTCATGCATGGGAAGAAGGTGTCTGTATTGAAAGGATAGTACTGCAAAGCAGGAAAGGGGATTGTCTCCCAGCACTGAAACACAGTCAGAGCCTTCTGAAAGCATCAGTGATCAAATAGATCCACAATAGAAGAACTCGTGCTGGAGTCAGCTCAGACTCATAAACCACATTACTTTACAATATCTGGACCACCAAGTGTGACTGACAGTCTGCTTCTGGCCCTTCCCAGTCTCATTAAATCCCAGTGTGCTGCCACAGCACTGAGCAGCCCTGGGCAGCAGGACACAGCCAGCCCTCACTGCTGCACACAGACAGGGGAAGGAATTAAATCTCCAGCAACAATCTCATCTCAGCTGTGCACAGCATCAGTTATGTCAGCACCTCGGGTCTGATTTCAGTGCAGTTCCTTATTAAATACATGTGGCTGTGTCATTAGATGATTCCTTGAGAAGTTTCTTTTTTATGCAAGCCAAGTTTCCTGTGACCTCTCCTGCCTTTGGAGGATTTAATCTCTTCTTTTTTATATCCCTCTCCCTGACCTTTCTTGAGAGCTTTGGGTGCTGAAATCTGCATCAGCAAAAGGCAGATCTATGGATTTAAACATGGATGCAGGAAAATGCCAGCTCAGCAATTCTGAGCAGCACCCAAGCATCTGGCAACTAGAAAAGAATAAAAATTCTGCCTTTCCCAGTTAAATTCAGCATGTCTGAGTCTAGGAGCAGCTCTAGGACAGCAGGCTCCACTCACACGATAGTTTTTCATTAGGAAAAGCTGATTCAGCCTCTGCCCTTGGGGTTCACAAGTGCTGCACACCCAGGCCAGGTTCACCGGGAAGGATCACAAAGCCCTACCTGAAATCAGCCTCTTCTCTTGGTGCTCCAGGTGCTGAACCAGCACACACAAGAACACATCAGGATTGCTGTTCCTGAGATATAAGGAAAGAGTAAAGTTGATGTATCCCAGAGGAGGACTGAGAGTGTTTAATCCAAACTGGTACAGTCAGCTCGTCCCCTGGGCTGCAGAGCCTCCACTGCTCCTGTTCTGATTTGGCAGCAGGTATCTGGGTTATGCCCCAGTGGTGCCTCCCAAGCAGCCCCAGCCGTGCAGGAAGGGCAGGGTGGAACTCAGCAGACATTTTAATTTACAGGTCAGCAGTTCCCTGGAGACTGATAATCCTGTGGCTGTCTCTGCTCTTGTTTCACAGGATAACGTGCTGGAGGCAGTGGAGAAGAGGAGCACAAGCTTGTCCTCACTCTTTTACCTTCTATGAAATCAGCTTCAGCACCTGTGCAGTGCCCTTCAGCACCATTCACAACGTGGGGTCCCCATCAGCACCTACTCACAGTTCTGGCATCCCCCTTCCCTATCCGTGTGTCAAAGGACAGGGAAGGGTGCACACACTCCCACCCTACAGAGAAAACACCATCACTTATCTGTTTGTTTGGCATATATTGCAGCTGCGTGGCAAGCCAAGGAAATGTCTACTGGATGCACTTTATTTTATTTAATGACTAATTCTTTTTAAACTTATGGCTTGGGTTTCTGGGCACACATGCTGTTTTTTCCCCAAAGGCTGGAGGCACGTGCCAGGGGCTGTGCCAGCAACTGGAACAGCAGGAAGAGGTGACTGGCAAAGCAGAGGGGTGAGGTGTTAGGGTGTAGTTCAGTAGGTGGGTGAAGAAGTTGTGTTCAGAGCTCTTGTACTAGAGGTTTGCACGTGGTTGAAGTGTTGGCAGAGGTGTATGTTAGTGGCAGGGGCTGCGGGGCATGAGCAGGCTGGATGGATGGATGGATGGATTGATGGATGGATGGATGGATGGATGGATGGATGGATGGATGGAGTGCTTCTGACAAGCACAGATCAAGCCAGCACCTCCTCCTGAAGAGCCTCCAGCTGTCCTCCCCTTTTAGAGGCTGAGGAGCACATCAGGACAGTGCTTTGTGCCAAGGAAGGTGCCTGCTTGGGTGACCAGGTGTGTGCATAACCCAGCAAACTCCGTGCCCCCTTCCCAAGCGTAACTGGGCATCCCTGCAGCACGGCAAGGAGGGGGACAGCACAATAATCTTCCTCCCCCACCACACTGCCCAAAGCAGTTGGCAGCAGGACCCAGGCCAGACTGGAGCTGGAGGTCCAAGACTTTGTATTAAACATTTTCACCTTCCTGGTTGTGCCTTCCATAGCCTTGTGTTTTATTAAGAGAGCAGGAATCCTCTCTAAGCTGCTCTGCAGACCTTCTGACCTGGCCTTAAAGATACCTTTCAAATGGAGGATCTGGAGGAGCTTTACAAGCACAAACATGCAGGAATTCTAGCTGCTTGGCTTTCCAGTTACAGCAAGCTAGGACCCAGCTGGAATACAGCTATCAGTTAAGGAGAAGGCACAAGGAATAACACAACATAATTTCTGACTTCTGAATGACAGGGCAGAGTGGGCATCACCCTCACTTCAAGGATGCTCTACAATCTGATGCCAGAGTAAGCGTCCCTGGGACAGGTATATGTGGAGACTGCCTGGAATATCCTGCAGGATGTTGGCTGACCAGGCTGGCAGACTGCCCTGGAGATCAGGTTGGCACGTGTGGACTGAAATACTCTATGCTGCTTTAATAAACTAATATTTGCACAGACAAGCATTTGTTTTCCCACGTGACTCAGACCCGTGACACCTATCATGAAGCACAAGCCTGGGAATTTCCTCCATGTGCCAAATTCAGGAGACTTTACTGGCATCACACCAGGTATTATAAAGAAACAGAGCATGCAGCCTTTGTGTTTTATCAGTAGAAACATCTCCACCCCACCAAAGCCCAGACTGGGTTTATTTGGACTTATCCATCAGATAAAACAGATAAATAGAAGATTGTAAAACTGCTCCAGGTCCTGGAGCTTCTCATCACTGTTAAAGGCTGATTCTCCTTATCTGACTGGCTCAAAATCCTGCTTGCAATTGTTTAGTTTTTTAATTCATTATTATTTTGTACATCAGGTCTCTGACCTGGCTCTTGGTCCAGTCAGACTGAGTCATTACCAGCATTTCCCAGGAGCCAGCTTGCCTCATGGTCCATGGAACACACAGTCTCAGCTCAAGAGCTGTTGTGCCCCAGGAACAGTTGGACACATGGCCAGGCAGGAATTTTACATTGCCCTGGTCCAGGACTGTGTTGAAGAGATAAAAAACCTTACTGCCCTAGACTCCATTCTGAAAGGAAAAACCATCACTGGTCCTCCATTCCCTCCTTTTTTTCCTTTCTTCCAAGTGACTTTGCAGGTAATGATGCCCAGGAAGAACTGAGTCTGATCCAGACTCTGGGAATGGGACTGGACAGCTTGTGCCTGTTCTAAGTGTATTTTTTCCTGCTCATTAACACTTTGCTCAATGCACTTTGTTTGGTGCCTGGGTTGTGATTTTTCAGACAACTGTGGCTTAGCTGTTTCTTCTTTATGGTGAGAGAAAAAACTGAAAAGTTGACAAATCTGATGTAGAGGGATTATTTATATGAAATAAAAGTTGGAATGAGGAAAAACCTCCTGTGTCTTATATTTCTCAGCTCCACATGTAGAGATTTCCAAACAGAGTCAGTAATCTCTGCCTTTTAGAGCAACAGCTCCGGTTCAGAGCACTGATTCCTTTGGGAAGCACTGAACTCCTGGGCTAGCTCAGCTTCCTCACCACAAAAGCTCCCTGCAACAATGCCAGGAAGATGAGGATCACTTTTTCTGTGAGGCATCAGAGCCACCACCTCATCACCACTGCACTTTTCCTGCAAGCAAATGCAAGGACAGCTCACAGAGTTCAGAGTCACCTGCCTGCACAGGACCTGTTCCTTCCCAGCAGTGGCTGGTAGCTCATGGATTTCGTGGAACTTGTTCCAGCTTTTCCAGACACAAGGGAAGCAGCAGCACTCCCAGGCAGAATGCTTTTTCCTTCAAACCAGAGGATCAACTGGCCACTAGACAGCATTCTTTTCCTTAAAAATTTGGAAATCAATTTCAACACAGCCACTCTGTAGCTAAAACTATCAGAATTGATCCCAGACTGGTGAGTCAGCTCTTGCATAAAGAAGGTAATTTAACAAACTTCAAGCCAAGGACAAAAATACATTTGGATAAAGTTGGAGATACTTGTTTCCAAAGTAATTACTGAAGGAGGCAATAACACAAAATCCTGACAGCAGTTCAGCTCTCCATTCCTACCTCAACAAGTCCAATACCTGCAGCAGGAGCACACTCACAGACCACTAACCAGTAAAGCCCAATACAGAGTCTCTAGATATAAAAATAACAGAAAATGTCACTGTTTTTCCACAACGATCTCCCTCCAGATAAACTGGCTGCAAGTGGCAGAGGACACTGAGGACACTGGCACTTAGCTATCAATTTTATATTTTAAGTGCATAATACAGTAGCTAGTGCTTTTTAAGTCAATGGAAGGCCCAGAGCAGCAGAAGGATACAGCACTGCTGGGAAGTTAAGGAAGTTCAGGCAGCCTGCTGCCTTCCCTGGAAAGGTTTTACAGCAGCAGCTCAACCAGCTCCCAGGCTCTGCAGCACTGGCAGGCAACACTGGAAGTCCATGGCTGATTCCTGCTCACACCATCCCAGTGCAGTGACACAGCACCGGGCCAGTTTTCCCAAAACTGCCTCTGAACGTGTGTGGAACAGCCACAAGCCAAGCTTCATCCCCTTAGCTTCATGCTAAGACTGTTTCTTATGCCATTCCCCCCTCTGTGTGCTCCAGCAGCTCCAGGACTCAGAGCCAGCCGTCGGTAACACCCCCCTGAGCAGCCCACTGAGATCAGCTTTGACTTCTCTGGGGGAAATCCCCGATGGCCAGAAGCAGCCACTGGTTTCGTTATCATCCCTGCACCACACAACTGCTTTTCAGCTACGCTCAGGGATTAAGCCAAGATTCCCTGTCAGAAATCCTGCACAGGAATCTGGGATTAAGATGATGTGCATTGCATCAGATGAGCCCGCAAGAGAACGCGTACGGGGAAAAAAGAGCTTTTAGAGATGGAAACGTGAGCCAGCTGCTGGAGCACATTACATGCTCCAGTAACTCTTCCTGCTGTTTCCCTTCTTTCTGGTCCCTCTGCATGTGAGTTACACTAAATGCTCTCCTTGGACAAACTGGACTCATTTGGACAAGACCAGTCTGCACAGGAAGAGGGCAGGTATTAGATGTCTACCACAAAAGCAAAAAGCTTTAAGGTAGACTCAAATTTCACTCACATTTGAGTATTTCCTTCATCCAACTGACTTCCAGATGTCTTCCTTCCTCATGCACACATGGGAACATGGCACAGCTCTGTTGGTAGGTGACATGTAGGACAGCAGCTGTGTGAAGGGAATAACCTTCCCCAGCAATTCCAAGGAATCAACATCTTGAATCACAAGGTTACAGTAATTTCTACCTGGGAAGCAACACACAACCCCGTGCCTTGTCATGCCTGATACAATCACACTAAGTGAACCTGAATTTTATTATTTTTTTGAGGAGCAATGAAGGGAAAGGGTGAACTGGAGCTGAAGTAACACAACAGACGACACAACCATCTGCCTTTTAAACCTCAGCTTTACCCCAGACTGGTGACTGCACCATTTTAGGGCACTAAAGCAATTCTGCTGAGATGCAGATGACTGTCTCAGTACAATGATAGCAACATAATGTAAAAATTCGCAGTCCAAGTATCTTTTGCAGCCAATCTACTTCCCAAGAAATCCCTAGTGCCCTGAATTTTAAGTTAGCTTACATCTAGAAACCAGTCCAGATGAGCCATTTTTGTTACTGGAGTATTTGCAAAGTACACTTAGTCACCGATTTCTTCGACAGCCTGTCATGACAGGAGTAAGAAGCACAGCAAGGGGCTCATCACAGGCTGACAACAGCATCCCAATGGGAACACATCTGCCTCTGCAGGACTATGACTCCTGGCTAGGAAAAGGATGGGGAAATGATTATAGCTGAAGAATATAGGTCAAGAAGATTTGGAAAACCAGGCTGTTGCAATCACCAGAACTCCCTGACCATTAGGCTGGCAGCACACAACCCTTCTGCATCTTCCCCAGGCAGCTTCCCCTCCCTTGCACACTCAGTACAACCAGAGTGAAGCCCCAGGATGCTCCAAAGCCAGTTGTAATAGGTACAGAAATAGCAGCATTTCACTGAAATCTGTTTGTCAGCAGAGGAGAAGATGCAAAAACACAGTCTGGGAACTCACCAAGCCTGCACTTTCCTACAGGAATGCAGACAGCCACAACCATCCTCATACTGGCTCATCAACTATTTTTAGCACCAGAAGGGGAGGCAGCCATCAGTGAAGGGCCTGTTCCCTTTGATCCAGTGGATCTGAGCACTGTCTCTGTCCCAGAGATCCTTTGCTACCAAAACCACAAACCAGGTAAAGAACTTTAGGTTGTTCCTGCTCCCGAGTACAAGGCATCTCTCAGCAGTTACACGGCAGGTTGGAAGAGGGCCACACAGCCCATTTAATTCCATTCACTTCCTCTCCCCTCTGCACCACGCAGCCAGGCTCTATTAGTCTTCTGAGAGCAACTGTAGTTAAAGTGAAGGATGCCAGGAGGCCCTGGGCACTCAGCGCACAGAGTCACCAGCTCCAAGCTGCAGGCCAGCAGCACAGAAATCCCAGCATCCATGGCATTGCACGCAGCTTTATTTATCTCCAAGGTTTTACAAGTTAAACACCAGCTCCTTCTCAGAGACACTTCCCAACTGGTTCTGCATTGCCACCTGAGCTGAGAAGCAGACTAAACTCAACTGGCACCACAATGAGCTTGGTTTCTCTCTGTCATTCATTTCTCCCTTGGGAAGCTGCAGGAACTTTGCCCCACAATCAAAGGTGTACCCTAAGGCCAGCAAAAGGCATTGATGTCACCAGGAGCAGAACTGCTGTGGGCGTGAGCAGCCCCACAGAGGGATCAACACGCTGCAGGCAGAACCACCAAAGGAACACAATCCCCCACTCACAGAACAGACACCCATGGGGCCTGGGGCCAGTGCTGCTCTGGGACACTCAGCCTTCCCCCTGCAGATGAACAGGGAGAGCAGAGAAGCACCTCAGGAGGTGACAGCTGCAGGGCACCTGTCTGCTGACTCAGTGCTTCCAGCTCTTCCACCTGCTCTGCAGGAGGGTGGCAGTGATCCCATGATTTTGGCTAAAGTGACTAAGCGAGATCGTTTTGTCCTTCCCACCAGCTTTTTGTTCCAACAACACAAAGCATTCCCTGCATGCTCTCCAGAAAACTGGAAAAGAGGGTGAAAAGAAGATCACAAAGCACTCTCCGTTCACCTCATTTCTCCCTGCAAACCCTCTGCTCCTGGTTCTACCTTTCACAGATGGTGTGAAGGCAATGCCCACCTGATGATGCAGCCTTAACAAACCACCACAGTCCCAGACTCCAATTTTGATATGAAACAGCTCTTTTCAAGCAGCCAAGTGCTGTATTTTATAGTACCTTTGTGATCTGCACAACTCAAATACGTACGCCACGTAACACCACATTTGCATCCCTCAGCAGAAGGAATCTGAACTGCTGTGATTCTTTCATAGGGATGCAGCACAGTCTGGCAGCCTCACAGATTCAGCTGAATCCATCCATCTGGAAAGCAGCAGCTTGGAACAACATGGCTCTTACGGTTTCCTAGTTTATATCCCACATCCCAGAATCATTAAAGGCTATTTTTTCACCCTGCTCATCAAGGAATAGAAGATTTCTGAGGACCACAGGGCAGGAAACCCTGTGAAGCTGGGAGGACAGCCTTCCCAGGACTCACCAGGAGCTGCCTGGGCCAGACCTACCCTGGTTCTGCATGCCCCAGAGGTGCGGGGACGATCCGTAAGTGCTGCCATCCCTTGCGGGCAGCAGCACGAGGGTACAACCGCGGGTACAACCACGCCGCAGCTCAGAGCCCACCAGCACCCACCGCCACAGCTCCGCCTGCTCTGCCAGCACAGATCAAACCTTTCCAGCACCACTGCTTCGTTTCCACAATTAGCCACGTACAGAGGTTTCTCCAGCCTCACCTACAGAGACCAATAACAAATGAATCAACATCATGCACCATAGCTGCCCATTGCAGTGGCCAAATTTTTGTTACTCAGACCCCTTCCAGTTCAGCATTCCTCCTCCCACCACCGAAGAGAACATACTTTGTTACAGAGACTTTCATATTGGGAAAATATTTTAATATAGTAAACAAGTCAATTTACCTTCCACATATTTTAAATAAGTTTATGCTCATCGTTAAACAAAACTGTTTTTACTTCAACAATGGATTACAGCCTCTAAATTCGTATTGTTCCCAGCTGATCCTGTAAATAGCGAAGAATTTTGGACACCGATATCCTTGTATAGGTAACAGACTGGCATAAACAGCGCAGGAATTCAATGCGGGTTCAAAGGGAGAGAAGCTAGCCCTGGTGAGGAAGAAAACGAAGCCACAAAATTCCCTTTTGAGGAAAAATCGGGGGGAAAAGAAGATACCGCAGTTCC